TGCATTGCCAGAACATATATAGTTTCCGATGTGATCTCTAATTATCCAAGCCACTCCAGTGAACTCAGTGTTGGATAAACTTCAACATTACTTCAAGCCCAAGTTAACCTTGATCAAGTCGGATTAGGAAAAGAAAGGCTTAGTCGGTTTCTAGATGGTTCTAGTTGCTTTAGGAGTTATCTAATACAATTAGAATAAGGAAATTATGTTTGCTATATATATGGGTGTCGAGATGTGGCATTACATATGAGCTTTGGGTGTTTAAGATTTTGAGATATTTTTCTTAAGCATTAATATAAGAGAGTTATTCTTATTCACAAAGCTAAGCACGTTTACGATCTTACTCTTATATTTGGTATCAGAGCGGTGATTCCGATACACAACCATGGGAGAGGTGATTCCGATGGCACAGACAAAAGATACAATTCCGAACTCAATTCAATGCCCGATGCTTACCACCACAAATTACACCGTGTGGGCAATGCGAATGAGGGTGCTGTTGCGCGTTCATAAAGTGTGGGAGACTATTGATCCAGGGTCAGAAGATACCACTAAGAATGATATCACAACAGGATTACTCTTCCAATCCATCCCGGAGAACTTGATCTTACAAGTCGGTGAGAAAAATTCTCCTAAAGAAGTGTGGGAAGCAATAAAATCTAGGAATTTAGGAGCTGAGCGAGTCAGAGAAGCAAGACTTCAAACCCTAATGGCAGAGTTTGAAAAATTGAAGATGAAAGATACAGAAAAAATCGATGATTTTTCTGGAAAGTTGTCGGAGATTGCATCGAAAACAACAGCACTTGGAGAAACGATCGACGAGCCCAAACTAGTGAAGAAGTTTCTCAACGGGTTACCGAGAAACAAATTTATTCACATCATTGCCTCATTAGAACAAGTTCTGGACCTAAAGAAGACTAGCTTTGAAGATATCATTGGCCGACTTAAAGCCTATGAGGAACGTATTATCGACGATGACAAGCAAGATGATACGCAGAGCAAACTGCTATACGCCAACTCAGAACAACAAACCTCGTATGGAAGAGGACGAGGAAGAGGTAATAGAGGACGAGGGAGAGGAGGTCGATTCAACTCTCAAGACAAGTCAAATCAAAGCGAGCAAAACAGGGAAAGAAGAGACCTTTCAAGTGTGATCTGCTATCGCTGTGATCAAGCTGGTCATTTTGCCTCAAAGTGCCCAGAAAGGATTCGAAAATTACAAGAAGCAAACATCACAGAAACAGAGGAAGCTGATGATGATGCTATGCTATATATGCATGAGATTGTTTTCTTGAATGAAGATAAACTCATACCAAAGAACTACAAGGGCGAGGAAGGTATGTGGTATCTCGACAATGGTGCGAGTAACCATATGACCGGTAATGAAACATATTTCTCTGAACTTAACAGAAGCATCAAAGGAAAGGTGAAGTTCGGAGATGGATCATGCGTTAAGATCGAAGGAAAGGGATCCATTTTGTTTCAAAGCAAAACTGATGAACAGATTCTTGTCAAAGACATATACTTCATTCCCGAACTCAAAAGCAACATCTTAAGCTTAGGACAAGCCACCGAGATCGGGTGTGATGTTCGAATGAGACAAGATTATCTGACCGTTCATGACCCTAACAACAGGCTTCTGGTAAAAGTTATGAGATCACCTAATCGCCTGTACAAGATTGAGCTCAAGATCGGTAAACCAATTTGCTTGTACACGAAAATCGAAGATGGAACTTGGAAGTGGCACGCCAGACTAGGACATGTAAGCTTCAAAACGATCAAAGACATGTCTCTAAAGAAGATGGTTTACGGTTTACCATCAATAAGAGATGAGAAGAAGATCTGCGAATCGTGTCTGATCGGAAAACAAGCACGACAGAGTTTTCCGAAAACAGCTCTGTCTCGAGCAGCAAAACCACTAGAGCTCCTCCATGCCGATCTATGTGGACCCATTACACCACCTACACTAGCACAGAACAGATACGTGTTTGTTATTATAGATGACTTCTCAAGGTATATGTGGACCATCCTGTTAAAAGAAAAAGGAGATGCTTTTAACAAGTTCAAGGCGTTTAAATGCTTGGTCGAGAAAGACTTTGGAGAAGAAATCATCACTCTTAGGACAGACAGAGGAGGAGAGTTCACCTCCAAGGAATTTCAGGATTTCTGTGAAGAAAGAGGGATCAAAAGACAGTTGACTGCACCTTACACTCCGCAACAAAACGCATTGTTGAAAGAAGAAATAGAACCTTAATGGAAATGACGAGAAGCATGCTTAAAGCCAAAAAGGTTCCGAATTACTTATGGGGAGAGGCTGTACGACATGCCACTTATGTCATTAACAGAATCCCTACGAAAGCTCTCAACAACATGACGCTATACGAACGCTTGCGAGAAAAGAAACCAAGTGTAGAACACCTACGGATCTTTGGATGCATTGCCTACTCAAAAATTGATTCCGGAAACCTCAGAAAACTAGATGACAGATCGATATCTCTAGTTCATCTTGGGATCGAACCAGGCTCGAAGGCCTACAGACTGTACAATCCTTCAAAACAAAAGATTGTGGTAAGCCGAGACGTGGTGTTCGATGAAAAATCTGACTGGAATTGGAAAGAAACAAGCAGCGAACCAAACAGAGATCCGGGAATGTTTCACATGAGATGGGGAGAGATTCAAGACGTTGGAGAAGGACCTGTTCTTACAGGTACTCAAAATCATAACGAAGAAGAAGATCTTAACGAAGAAGAAGACTTTCAAGAATTCGAAAACGAGGGGGACGATAACGATGACGGTTCAGAACAACAATTAAATACCTATGGTAATCAAGATGAAGATACGACACCAGAGGTACCAGTTTTGAGAAAATCATCAAGACAAATAAGAAAACCTAAACATCTCGAAGATTTTGTGTTGCAAGCCTCGATCGAATGCGAGAAACTTCTTCTATCAATAGACAGCGAGCCAAGGAACTACAAAGAAGCAAAGAATTGTTTGGAATGGAGAAAAGCTTGTGAAGAAGAAATCCATTCGATTAACAAGAATAACACATGGTCCCTTGTTGATCGACAAAACAACATGAAGGTCATTGATCTAAAATGGATTTTCAAGATAAAGAAAAATGCGGATGGCACCATCAACAAATACAAAGCAAGGCTTGTTGCTAAAGGCTACATACAAGAATCAGGAGTGGATTTTGATGAAGTTTTTGCACCTGTTGCTAGAATTGAAACCATAAGACTTTTGATGGCACTAGCTGCATCACACGGATGGGAAATTCATCATTTAGACGTAAAACGGCCTTCCTACATGGTGAGCTAAAAGAAGACGTGTTTGTTGACCAACCGGAGGGATTTGAAGTGAAAGGACAAGAGCACAAAGTTTACAAACTATTTAAAGCCCTGTACGGCTTGCGACAAGCACCAAGGGCGTGGAATACAAAGTTGGATAAAATCCTGAAAGGCATGAGATTCCTAAGATGTATGAAGGAGACATCAGTGTATCGTAAGGAAGAAGGAGGAAGTCTGCTCATAGTTGCTATCTACGTTGACGACTTGTTCGTCACAGGTAACAACTTAAAGGCGTTAAGTGAGTTTAAGAAAGGAATGGCTTCTAAGTTTGAGATGTCAGATCTCGGAAAACTCACTTACTATCTTGGTATCGAGGTTCATCAAGGAGCTGATGGAATTGAAATCAAGCAAGAGGCATATGCAAGAAGAATCCTAAAAGAAGCTGGCCTTGAAACCTGCAATGCGACTCTTATACCTATGGATTTCGGACTCAAGGTTTCTAAAACAGATGATGAACCAGAAATAGATGCAACAAGCTATAGACGTAATGTTGGATGTTTAAGATACCTGCTTCACACTCGTCCAGACCTAGCGTTCTCTGTCGGTATCGCCAGCAGGTATATGCAGAGCCCAAGAAAATCCCATGGAGACGTGATGAAGCAGATATTAAGGTACCTTAAAGGGACGCTCACTTTTGGATTGAAATTCAAAAGGGATACGTCGAAAAGGTTGATCGGATATAGCGATAGTAGTCACAACATTGACGTTGATGACGGAAGAAGTACAACAGGTCACATCTTTTACTTTGGAAATTCACCAATTACTTGGTGTTCTCAGAAGCAGAACACGGTAGCCCTCTCCTCATGCGAAGCAGAGTTTATGGCTGCAACAGAAACAGCAAGACAGGCTATATGGCTTCAAGACGTTCTAAGCGAAGTTACAGGATGGGAACCAGAGCAAGTCATCATCAAAATCGACAACAAATCGGCCATAGAACTCACCAAAAACCCAGTGTTTCACGGGAAAAGTAAGCACATCCATAAACGTTATCACTTTGTGCGAGAATGCATTGAAAGGGAGCAGGTTGGAGTGGAACATGTACCAGGAACAGAGCAAAAGGCGGATATACTGACTAAGGCGCTGGCACGAGTCAAGTTTGCTGAAATGAGGAGCTTAATTGGTCTTCAAGATATTGCTAAGGAAGAGTTGAAGTTTAAGAGGGAGAATGTTGGATAAACTTCAACATTACTTCAAGCCCAAGTTAACCTTGATCAAGTCGGATTAGGAAAAGAAAGGCTTAGTCGGTTTCTAGATGGTTCTAGTTGCTTTAGGAGTTATCTAATACAATTAGAATAAGGAAATTATGTTTGCTATATATATGGGTGTCGAGATGTGGCATTACATATGAGCTTTGGGTGTTTAAGTTTTTGAGATATTTTTCTTAAGCATTAATATAAGAGAGTTATTCTTATTCACAAAGCTAAGCACGTTTACGATCTTACTCTTATACTCAGAACTATTCCGATAACTTCCATCAAAATTACATTTCAACCATCCATAAGGACATTATTCCTTTGATAAACACCATCTAAATTCTTTTCTTTTTTTTTTTAATTTTCTGACACAAAAAAAGAAATGGCTTATTTATTTATTTTTCTCTGTTTCTGTAAACTTTTTTTTTGTTTTAAAAACTACTTGGTCATAAAAACATTACCTTGAGAGAAGTTTCACAAGGAAAGTCAAAGGAGGCCACATACACAGAGCCAGTCCAATGATCAACTCCAGAACAACCTTACAAATCCAATCATAAGTTAATTATACATAGTCATGGTGATAGATCTCAAAAGAATAGAGGAAATCTAAGAGAAACATTTATCGATATACTGTATATACTCACGTTCATCGGCGGTCTGGAAAACTCTTCCTCCGTGATCTCCCAGAACCCCCTATCTGAATCAATGAAGAAAAACACACGTGATCAAGAGTATTAGGAAACATGATCTCAAAACAGATAAGTAATGAAGAAAGAGCCCCTTGCATTTTAAATAATAAATATATATATATATATATATACATATATATTAGTTGAGATTATCAATACTTTATACTTCTAATGTGAGACATTTTAACAATTCTCTATCTAAAACAAAGAAGACAAATCCAGATGAACAAGAAACTAGATGCTATCCCAAAAGCCACAAGAATAATAGTGGATATCTGAATATATTGGTATTGGATTCCCACGAGGAGACATACACTGGCCTATTGTCCAGTAAGCGGCGTAGGAGAGAATCAGGACGCCAGAAACTCCAACTACGAACCCCATGTTATTCATGTATTGTTCTTTGTTTGGAACCTCTTTTTTTTTGGTTTTTGGTCCGAGATGGTTCCCGGTCTGGTTTTTAATTATGCACCGCTCGAGAATGGAAGTAGAATTGAAGTCGATCACTCGAGTTTTTGTTTTATAAGGGCAGGAAATTATTATATGGAAGAGCTGAGTAGTAAGAAAAAAAAAACGGCATTTATGGGCAACTCCTTTTTTAGTATCCAACAAGGCGAACAGGGTGATTAAATAACAGTAAAAGTATGCCATTGAATTTATTTAATAATGACTTAAACCCATGTGACTAATTAAATCACATAGTATATATGACTGAAGACATATTCCCTGTATTTTTTTTTTTTTCTATTTGTGACTTATATTAAACCCATGTGACTAATTAAATCACATAATATATGACTGAAGACCTATTCTCTATATATTTTTTTCTATTTATTATGACTTAAACCCATGTGACTAATTAAATCACATAGTATATGACTGACCTATATTCCCTATATTAAAAATAATAGAATCTTTAAGCTTACAGCGTTGGCATGAATAAAAAAGTTAACGATCGTTTGGAGTATATGTGAAAAGTCCGAAAATCGACCAATTCCGACTTGAATTATGAATTTATGTTAATATTAGATCCGAATTTGTAACCAGTACGAAAATAAATTAAAACTTCTGATCAATTTGAATTTCATTTCTAAACTTTGTTTTTCGTGCTTAAATCTACATTCCGCTCAACATTGTTAAAGATCTGTCAAATCAAGCCCATATAGCTGACAATATACGTCGTCTTAAGAAGCTGCGAAATGAGTATAATACACAAATTGACGTCGTTTAGTATCTACGCTTCTTACGACATCATTATTTTTGTTTGTTCCTTCTTTATCTTCAACCTCTCGAGTTATGGGTTTCAGACAAACTAAGAATTTCAAAATCCATTTTAAGGTTGTTAGACACGATTCAAGATTCTTCAAGGTCGATGTCTTTTTCAACTAGTTTGGATTAGTGACTGTAATTTTTTTCTTTCTCTGTTTGTGTGTCCCTAAATTTTGAAAAATAGATGTCTTTTTCAGTGTCGATTTACTAATAAATATTATATTTTAACTGTAATTTGCGTAGGAATAAATTTCAGGCAAATTGGGACTGAGTGAGAAAGAGGATTTGATGGATCCTTAACCATGTAGCGGAATGTAGGTTTAAACACACAAAAAAATTAGGAATAAAATTCAAATTAATCAGAAGTTTAAGTTTGTTTTCGCACTAAATACAAATTCAGGTATAAGATTAACATAAGTTCATAGTTCAGATCAGAATTGGGCAATTTTTCGTGAAAAGTTTATTGAAACATTGCAATGTTGCAATTATTATTCCCAAATCGTTTGGATCAATTACTATTTTGCAGTGCTTTGGTAGTTTTTAATATTTAGAGTCGTGTTACTATTTTGCAGTGCTTTGGTTTCGATTTATTCACACCTTCAAAAAGTTCTTATAATTCATGAAACCAAAAAACTTTCGAAGAATACTCCAAAAAGAAACTATTTTTTTACAAAATATGATAACCACTTTTTTTTATTTGCTCAATATGATAACCACTTTTTTAAAGCTTTAAAAGCTTTTCTAATGCCGTAAAATAACTTCTTTGTTGTTTTGGAACAAAAAAAAAATACTTCTGTTTCACAAAAAGTGTCATTTTATTTTTGTTTTACAAAGAGTATCACTTTGTATTTCCAATGTAATATAATAAACAAAAATCTAACTTTAACCTTATTTTTTTAGTGTATTAATTAAAAAGAGAAAATTGTTGTATGTATTAATACGGAGTTGTGTAAAACTTTTGCTAATTTTTTTAACTTGTGAAATGTGTCAAAATGACACTCTTTATGAAACAGAAAGAGTATATATAATAGTATTTGACCCAAAAATATATTTGATGGCATTTCTATGAAGAAAATGTAATATTTTTGTTTAAAGTGTTCCAAAATTGTATAGGTTTGTACAACAAATAGAAATTGATTTATTTGGAACAACAGTTAAAGAACACAAGGCCAATCCTCCGAGAAATACCACAGAGTTTTGGATTAAACGCTATGGAGAAATAACTGAAATAACCGCCACACAATGTCATCAATCATCACTCTCTTTCCCTGACAGAGCAGCAACCAACGATTTCATCAAAACGGTCTATTGTAAAGACCAAGCAATGGTTTTTCTCTATCTTCAACTCGTTTCCTAGCAGCTTCCCTCGCCTTCAATGCAGCTCTCTCTTCCGCAGATACTTTCTTCGGTTTCTCATCTTGTCTCTTTCTCTTGTTGTTGCCAATATCAACAGATGAAGCAGCTCCTTTCACAGTTCTTTTCGGGTTTAAAGAAGCCGAGACAACACGCCCAGGTGCTTTTGCCATACTTGGTCCAGCTTCTGAAGAAGGTACAGGCTTTTTAACGGGAGGTACTTTAGTTCCTTTATCTGATGAAGTTTTAACCGCAGCGTAAGCCTCGTCTTGTGTCACCCAATGTCCTGTTTCATTATCCGTGTAAGCACCACATACACGGAGAAAATGTATACAATTATGTTTAAAAGCAAATGAAAACAAAACTCTATTATTGTTAGTTTGTTACATACCTATGGAGTCACTGTAATAGAATCCAGACTTTGAGTCATAGTGCAGACCATTGGTCTGGTTGTAATAATAGCCCGAAGCACTGTCAAGCACCCAATCTGCCATAACAATATCATTACTACATCAAACGAAACAAAAACTCATCTATATTCATGAATGAAAAAGGCTAAGAAAAATGCCCATCAAAAATGGTGAAATAACCTGAGAGTGACTCAAAAGATGCAACCGTTTCGCTTTCTGGTGATGATTCTCTCTATAGAGTTATAGTCATTAAAACTTATAAGTCAAAAAAGCCTTTTGCAAACCGTGTAAGATGAAAAAATGGAAGAAATCATTTAAAAGGTTAGCAGATGCCACTTCATTTGTTCATACTTTTGGTCAATGAAAGCAATTCACAAGTCTAGTTTCATAGATTCCGCAAATCCTTTAATATACGACCTCAATATGTTACTGTATAACAATCAGATTCAAAGCTAAGCAACATTACCAGCCATGTCAAACAACAAACTTGCTAATGGGAGACACAACAATTAAGAGGAGCAATCTTAAGAAAATCATTAGAGAGATAACTTACCGCGTGTACCATCCTCAGGTGCGCCGTTTGCTTTGGCTACTTCATGAGCAGTTGCTATATCTTTCTGATAGCTACGAGTTGCTTTCTGAAATAAAGTTGGGAAAAAACAGAGTAATCAGCAATGAAACAACATAGAAGGCTCAAGTTCTTTGTCTATTTTAACAAGAAGTTACTCACAGCTTCGATCTGTTGAAGCAATTTCTCGTTTTGCTTGAGCTCTTTGTCTTTGGCTGCGCTCTTCTCACGCATATCAGTGAGCTTCTTATCGACACATTCTCGGTGACGTTTACCAAGTTCATGGTTTCTAATACTTGTTGGATTGTTCTGAATCCAGATCTTACAGAACTCGCACCATTTGTTCCCTTGGCTCACCCAATACTAGCAAAAAATTACGAACAAGAAACCAAAAAAAAACAAAAAGAAATCAGATCAATTTCAATTACGAAACCTAGAGATAAACATGGGTTTCGAGAAAGAAAGATGATTTGAAAACAATGCAAAAGCTTTACGAATTTTGATTTACCTCAGTCATGGTTGTCGATCGGGGAAGATGAAGAACGAACCCAAGCTCAAACCCACAAACCGGAGTTCCCGGAGCTCAGAAATCAAGAACTAACTGAGAGAAGGGTTGGAAACCCTAATTCGTTAAACTGGAATCGAAATAAACCTAGAGAGACGAAGAAGAAGAAAAGGGGATGTAATGTTATGGGGGAGGAAATTCAGTTCGGTATGTTTGTTTTCTCAATTGATTTCCCATCACTTGAACCGAAAACTTGGTACGTACCCCATTAACTTTTTCTTTCCGGTTTTCATTTGGTTAAACCGACTCAAACCTTAGAAATTATACAGATCCAAACCGAAATTAGCTTTTACAACACTTCTTTGAATTCTTTTCTTTTACAACCGAAAATTTTGGTTATTTTATAAATTTTCCCCTTGTATATATTCAATAGATCAGATTATGGGTATTTATATATAACTGTATATATTATATATATATATATGTATTTATATTTTATATATCAGAAGAGAGGAAGGGACATGCGATAGAGAAGAGAGGGAGAAGTGATTCACATTTTGATTGCTGCTTCACACACATATTTATACAAGTGAAGAGAAATGAATAGGTAAAGTAAGCTGTCAATAATTTATGCTACCTAACCAGGTTACATGGATAATTAATATTTAACACTCCCTCTTAATTATTAATCTTTAATAATCTATTACATATTGCTTCGTTAAAAACATTATCATGGAACAATCCATTGGAATAAAAACTAATCTCCTTTTCGAAATGATGGATATAAATTTCCTTCATAGGTCTCGTAGTCGGCGCATTCCAATATTATGGACATGTTTTCTGAATGATGTAGTGGGAAGTGCCTTTGTAAAGAGATCTACTGCATTGTCACTTGAGCGAACATATTGGATATTCACTTCCTGATTTTTCTCGAATTCTTGAGTGTAAGAGAAAAACCTTGGAGGAATATGTTTTGTTCGATCACTCTTGATGAAACCTTCTTTGAGTTAAGCGACACATGCAACATTATCTTCAAACTCTTTTGTTGGTTCCTTATCAATGACTATTTCACTTGCACCTTGAATATGTTGAGTCACATATCGGAGCCATATGCATTTTCTACATGCCTTATGGAGAGCAATGATTTCCGCATAATTTGAAGAAGTGGCGACCATAGTCTGTTTTTGAGAACGCCACGAGATCGCTGTTCCACCAATTGTGAAAACATATCCAGTTTGCGATCGAGCTTTATGCGGATCAGATAAATATCATGCATCTGCAAAACCAACTAGACCAACTTCGAGGTTTCTAGGATAAAATAAACCCAGATCAATCGTACCTTGGAGATAACGAAAAATATGTTTTATTTCATTCCAATGTCTGCGTGTAGGAGATGAGTTGTATCTTGCAAGTAGATTAGTAGCAAAGGCTTTATCTGGTAGAGTACAATTTACAAGATACATAAACCCACCGATAGTGCTCATATAAGGTACTTCAGGACCTAATACGTTTTCGCTATCTTCAAAAGGTCGAAATGGATCCTTGTTAATATCAAGTGATCTATTGACCATTGGAGTACTCAAATGAGTTGTTTTATCCATTTTAAAGCGTTTTAACACCTTTTTGGTGTAATTTGATTGATGCACAAATATTCCGTCTTGGAAATGCTCAATCTGGAGCCCTAGACAAAATTTTGTCTTTCCAAGATCTTTCATTTCGAACTCTTCTTTCATGTGAGTTCTTGCATCATCAATTTCCTTTTGAATTCCGATTATGTTCAGGTTATCGACATATACAGCAATGATCACAAATCCTGATGATGATTTCTTAATAAACACGCAAGGGCATATCGCATTGTTGATGTATCCTTTACTCAACAAGTATTCACTCAAGCGATTATACCACATGCGTCTGGACTGTTTAATCGTAAAGTGATCGCTGTAA